GCTGTTAGCTAATTTGCCATCTAACAACCTTTGTTCTCGGCGCGTATTTATAACATTTTTCATAGTGGTTCATGAATAGCACAACATTTAGCCGCAAAACAATGAAAGGGTAAAGCAAAGAACACTAATTTAAAATCTCAATTTCTACAATTCCTCCAATTTTGCCAATTTTTGCTTCATAAACATCATGATGACAAAATCTTTGAGATCATATTGTCATGTGGCATACAATACCTATAATTATGGAAACCATCAGTTTCTAGCTTGGTTGACTTGCCCTTTAATTAGTTTGCATGTGTTGTAATGACTTGCTGAGCCTGACATCATCTAGATGGGGCCCACTCATTGGTGGGAATTTATAAAGTGAACATGGGAAACATTTACAACTGTTGTCAGTGGGATGCAACCTGACACTTTACTGCTGGCAGTGCTAAATAACATCGTTCATACTAATTAAAAACCTGAAATACTACGAATCTGGCATGAGTTTTGTTTCTGCCCAAACTGGGAAGAAGGGCCTATCTAATTTGTATCAAGAGAATGAGAGTTGGAATAACCAGTTCTCTCTTGGTAGGGTCCTCTATGGAGATAGACAGAAGAGATCTTGTAATACATATTCTTGGGTGACACTGACTGTTCTTCAGGAAGTGTTCGTTTACTTATTTGTCTTATAACACAGAGTAATATTTTTGAAGTCCATCTATATTACCTCATTTTAGACTATTCTTTGACCCAAAAAGCATATTCTTGCGAAACTGAAACAGGAAAAGGCTTATTCTTGTTATACTGACTCCCTGGAACCTGACTAAACAACAGGAAAAGCTCCTTTGAATTATATCTTAGACATGGGGTAATATGCTAGGAGTTTTGCACCTCACTTTGATCTGTGTTTCCAAACCAACCAGTGAACCATTTGGTTCTATTTCATGAGGAAATTCATTGTATAATACAGGTTGCATTGAATGATGATGTTGTGGTATCTTATTCTACATAATGAAGAATACAATAAATGTTAATATATAAAAAGTCTAGAAGAAACAATAGTTATTAATTCAATGAATAATGCTTGGAATATCTGCGGACAAAGCTAGCAACTTTTTTCTTGCAAGGTTATTAAAGATGTGAATGTGATAAGCAAATAAATACAATGATAAATCATGGTATTGTTCCTGATGTATGATGCACAAAGCCCTTATATAAAGGATGCTTTCAATGAAGATTGTGGTATTCTGTAGAAGAGTGCTGAAGATCAAGCAAGGACTATAGGAATGTGAGTTTGTGCTTGGAGAGAGAGTATACAAGCATTTCAATGTGGCTTTGTAATTTTCCTCAGTTAATTGCAAATGCTAGAGTATTCATATGGGCTGGTATGTGCAGGTAGAATCTCGTTTAGTTTGAGTTTAACAGTAATCCCCATCTTAGACACCTTTTTCCCTTTCTCTTCATCATGCTAGCTTGCAACTTAGACACAATAGATGGGTGATTCTCATTCTTACCTTTTAACGAATTGGCGGAGTTCGATTTCAGAAACATTGATGTTCATGTTCTGCTGTCAAACTCATGCACACCTTTTCCCATTTTCCATCGATAAATTTATAGTTTGACACTTATGATGACATGGATTAGCACAACAAATAAGGCAAACTAATTAATGTGGCGTTATTTGATGATCTCACAATCTTGCATAGTAAGCTAAGTCTTCTTTCGATCACATGACTGCAGATGATAGAGTACTTCAATAAAAAGGCTAATATCTCTGGGAACGTTCCTCTTGGTAGTTTCAATGCCGCTTTCAGCTTTACTGGTTCTAAGCATGTAGATGCTGCTGCCACAAAGTCTCTTTGCATGGATGGATTTTTCATTCCACTAGCTAAGATTCAGATTATCAAATCTCCCATGGTTTTGCATGAAAATGTTAGAAGAGCAGTTCCAACATCATGGGACGCACCAGCCCTGGCCAGGTAGAATTTATATTTTGTGTATTTCGTCATCTGTCTAATAGGTTTAATGCTCACTGATTCTTTTATATTCTGTTCTTTTTGACAGTTTTATTGAAAATTTTGGGACGCATGTTATTATTTCAGTAACTATTGGCGGTAAAGATGTAATCTATGTCAAGCAGCACCTATCTTCACCTTTGTCCACAATGGAAATAAAAAATTATGTTCAAGATATTGGAAATCAAAGGTTCTCTACTGCAGAAGGCCTTACAAACTCAGGTTTATTGAAGTCCAAGGATAAGGCTAGTTCCATCCCATTTCTTACTTCTCATTCCTTCGACAAATATTTACGTAATTCTTTTGGCATAATCTTTCTTTGCCATGGACAAGAAAGCCACAAGCGTAATTGACGAACCAAATTTCTTTAGCTTCCTAACTTCTTTTCGCCCGTTTGAATTTGCAGGGCAGTGACCCTTCTTTGTTTAATAGCCAAGGGATATACCCACAACCTGCTGATGCACCTTATCTCTCCGGGATTGGCAAAGAAGTATGTAGAATATCCTCCTCTTTCTTATTTCCTTCCTCTACCTCCTTTTAATGAAGGTAATCTGATTTTTCGGATGATAACTTCGCTGCATTAGCTTCAGATATGGAGAAATTATCAAAACAAAAAGATGAAGAATATTGCCAATAAACTTAGGATCCGCCACGTTATCTTTTTTCACCTTGTCGTTCCTTTCAAGTGGAGCAATTATCTCAAAAAAAATAAAAAATAAAAAAATTAGTACAAGATGTGGAGAATAAATGCTCTCGTGAATGGATTTGCTTCCGGAATTTTATTTGATTATATCTGATGCAGGATGTTACGATCATTTTCAGAAGGAGGGGTGGGGATGATCTTGAACAGAACCACACTCAATGGGCTACAACAGTTCAATCTTCTCCAGATGTCATTGAGATGTCATTCTTTCCAATAACAGAACTTCTTGAAGGAGTTAGAGGAAAGGAGCATCTAGCACGTGCAATAGGTCTCTACCTTGAATGTAAGACATCTCATTCCTTCATGTTTTAGTTCACTTTTATATAATTGCTGCAATACTATAGTGATAGACAGGATTCCTTCTATTGTCCACTCTGAAATTATTTTAAACTATTATGTGCAGACAAGCCTCAAATTGAAGAACTGAGATATTTCCTAGAATTTCAGGTCCCTCGGATATGGGCCCCTGTACAGGACAGGTTCCCTGGACATTGAATTTTTTCAATTCCTTTTTTTTTTTTTTTTTTTTTTTTTTTTTTGAATATTGAATTACATTATTTTGGAAGAAAACCTGAATGAGGTGAGGTTGGTTACTCATATTAGTCCATTAGTCTTCATTGCAGAGTCGACTATTAATTGGATGTCATCAGAGAGCTAATGCATGTTTCCTCAAACCTTTTTCCTGTATTGTACATTGTTTAGTATATCATCGTAACTTGGCTTAATTTGGGCACAGGTATCTGTTGGACGCAAGCCTGTAACTGGTATGCAATTATGTCTTGAAGGAATCAAACAAAATCGACTTAGTATTCATCTTCAACACTTGGCATCTCTTCCTAAGATTCTCCAGCCATACTGGGATATGCATATTGCAATAGGTGCGCCAAAATGGCAGGGTCCTGAAGAGCAAGACAGCAGATGGTTTGAGCCAGTGAAGTGGAAGAAATTTTCCCATGTCAGCACTGAACCCATTGAAAGCTCTGAGACCTTCATTGGCGGTGCTATCTCTGGTGTGTACATAGTCACTGGAGCTCAACTTGGGGTGTGGGATTTTGGGTCCAGAAATGTCTTGCATATGAAGCTTTTGTATTCAAGGCTTCCGGGATGCACAATCCGTAGATCATTATGGGATCACGTTTCAAGCGATAAGTCAAGAAAACAGTTTTCCAGTGGAAGTAACTCCGACGACTCGAGTTCAAGTTCCAGAGAAAATAATGTGGGCAACAAGTTGATGAAATTCGTTGATATGTCGGAAATGAGCAAGGGCCCAAAAGATCCTCCAGGACAATGGTTAGTTACAGGTGGAAAACTCAGTGTAGAGAAAGGGAAAATTGTAGTTAGAGTGAAGTATTCATTGCTCAATTACTGAGTTCATCTGTGAGTTTTTATGATGTGCAGCCCTTTATCATATGATAGAGGTTTTGATTTTTGTGTACATGCTACCTTGTTCATCATGCATTTAGTGGATTATCCGAGTTTAGTTAACTGTATTTACTAATAGTTTTGGTGGCTTTGGATGTGTAATTTTCTTTTTCTTTTTTTTTGCCTGATGAGTTTGGAAATCAATATATGGGATGAAGTTTGAAATGTTGGTTTCACGTAGAGTGAGATGAAATCTACACACGTTTGGCAAAATAAGTAGCTTAAAAGAAAAGTATTGACTTGTTCTTATGGACCACTTAATGTAACAATATCTAAAACAAAAATTGACTGCACGAATGGCGTGAGGTCTCATGTCAAGAGATGGAAGGTGATTATAAGTTCGATTCAAGTCTAAATAAACTTGATACGATACATACCGTGATAGATGAGAAAAAAGTTAACTGTGTTTCACATAAAATCAATCTCATACTTAGTAGAATTATGATTTGGAAAAGCACCCTTTATGAAAATGGGCTTTACTTGTTTATTTATTAGAAAGACAGATGTATTTCATTCATAGGACAATGACTTGTTCACAAATTTCGTGTAAATTAATAACCACAAATGGATTGGAGAATAAAAATAACAATTATTATAAAACAAAATTTAAGACAAAAGCTGCAAAAATAACATCTTGATTCAATATCCAACCGGTCTAAATTATACGCCACTATTATGGTTTGTTCAATAAGCCAGGAAAAAATAGAAGTTAAAATTCATTATATTATTCAATGCATTCTGGTACTGCATAGAAAACATTATACACACATAATTTATCTATAGGAATTTAGAAACTTCTACAATGCAAAAGCTATACAGCTGCATTGCCAATATAGAATCATAAATAATAAGAGACAAATATGTTTCTTAGGACTTGATCAAAATTGGCCTCCTTCAAAAGTTTGTCCAAATTGCCAGCTTGCTGGTACAACGTTGTAGCTGGTAACTGTGTGGCCATCACTGGCTGTAACTCTAAAAGAAAGACTTTGGTCATTTAGGTAAGAATTACTCTGCCAATTTTGGCCCCAATTTCTTGACATTTTTTGCCAACCAGTGCGTGACCCTTTGATCCACAATGCATGCACATCTCCTACTCCTCCAACATTTGTTATCAACACCAAGTTAAAGTAAGAATGGCCATTGATGGTGAACCTCATTCCTCCTTTCTTCTCACATGGAACCCTGTCAAAAAGTAACATAAACGATGTCATTAAGCAATACCACTTGTGTCCTCTAAATAGGTGAAAACGTGCGTAAAAAGTAAGATAACTGCAGTATGATTACTATAAGAATGACACCATGCAATTTCTAAGTATCTTTGTGCCAAACTTCTTGTACACATGTAGAATGTTTATATAGGGCGACAGGGCTAAACATGTGTTTTAGGCATTGCATCGTGATCCAATTATGCATTTCCATCGTTTACAGCTCATTTTGGAAGTTTAAATGAAGGTTTGGTGACAGTGAAATTCAATAAAATATGAAATAAAAAATGAAATTACATAATTTCTGAATTTAAAGTTTTAAGTATTTGCATTATACCTTCTATACGCCACTGGTACTATTCCAGCACGATATTGTGCAATTTTCAAGAATGCAGGCTGAGCGAGATCAAAGTGTTGAAGAGGTGGATTGCACCAGCCGCCGTTGTTATTGGCCAATGCATAATTTGGTGGGCAGAAATTGGTGGCGGTGAAGGTTATAGTTCCCGGAAGACACCACTTCGGGTCGTCATTGCACCTCATTTCATAGCAGGCACCACAGCTCAGCCCACTGTTGAAAAGGGCAGTACTCAATGCAGCAGTATTAGTCCCATAACCTTGGCTATACAAGTTACCATATCCACATGCACCACCTATACATATACATAAAAATAATGATGCCGTGTTTTGTATACTGGACTGGACCCAACATTGTTAAGAGAAAAAAGCAATTACTTTACATCGTTAACGTACCCATTGTGCCGGAAGCATCGGAGCCTCCGTAAAATGTTGCATGGGCACTTTTCCAACCACCATAGGCGCCGCCACCATACGCGTATGTGTTATGGAAAGATAAAAAGAAAACCAATAAAAGAAAATGCATGTATTGTACTTTGCTAGTCATTTTAAGTGAGCACACTAGGGTTAATTAGGGTCTAGCGCGTGACTTATTTTTAATTATTTATTTTTGAAATTCTTGATTTCTAGTAATGAAAATGGAATGGCTATATATAGGAAGGTTAGGGTGGGACTAAAATGAAATAAGTAACAAGTTATTACGTTTGAAACCGGACAAACCTGAAAAACGGATTGAATTTAAGGCCTGTTTGGTAGTGATTTTGAGAATTGATTTTTTGACCGTTAGAGATAAAAGTGAGGGCCACATATGAGTGAAGAAGTAATAAATGATGGCTAGAATAGTAAAATAACAGTCAAAAAATCAATTTTTTGAGGTGAAAAAACTCTACCAAACGGGGCCTTAATTTCACAACAAAATTATTGCTTATTAATTAATTTTTTCTTAATTGGGACCTTCTCTTCTCAAAATGGGTTGAACTTAGCTCTCATTTTTAATGGCTTTCAACTGATAATTTAGGCGGTGCACGTGCATAATTTTATATGTTTCACTTTATTCTTATTTATAGATGAATAAAAGGAAAACAACATGTTAAGTCAGTTAATATAAAACTCAAATCTATGGTGGCAACAACAAAGTAAACTTGTAATGTTGAAATGGACTCCATAGTCTATTATTGTTTTTAAACATTTGTTGAATTGGAATAAAGAAGTAAATAGAAGTCGAAATACAGCGATCGATCGAGACTCTTCCCAGCTAACACATGCCCATACAAACATACCTGTACAAATTCTAGTAAAACTTTCACAGTTTGTCATGTTAAATTAATTATTCATTTATTTTTAAAATAAGCAACTTATTTTTAATCAATCTACTATGAACTTATCCAATGGTGGCGAAAACTTGTTAATTTGTCGTCAACCACACAAAATTTCAAAACATGCATTAAGTACAAATATAAGTGGGTCGAGAAGTCACATGAAATGAGATACAAATCAGGAAGGGCACAAGCCAAATGTACGAGTAATTAAAGCAGGGTGGGTAGGTTTGCTCGGTGGTTAGTCACATTTTGAGAAAAAATATAGTAGGTAATAAACCGTTAGCCTACCATATTATCTCGACTCTTCAATGTCAAGGTATTACGTGCCCTTCTTGACTATTCCCCCGGAATTAATGCCGTTCTTTATGTTGAAGTTTTCAATTTGTGTTTTTAGTTAGTTTAAGGAAATATAAGTCATATAACGTAGAATTTTATTTGTATTTTATTTATATGGTCATATAACAAATTAACGTTTCTTTAATAAGGTTAAACAAGGGGGGACATTCATGGCAAAACCAAGTTCTTGAGTTTCGAGAGGAATAAAACAGAGGTAGAGACTCAAGTTAGAATGAAACATATCTAATTAAGAGATCGTTTAATTTAGGACAACACAAAATAGATTGACATAGACATCATGTGCTTAGTTGAATTATGAGAAAGATGTATGTTTCTTCAATTATTATATATCGTTTGTCTCGAAATGAAATAGAGTGAAGTAAAAACATTGTGAACCGCTCATGCTAAAGATAAATTTTTTGATGAGGAAATAAGTTTTGAAGTGGCAAATTATCCCCATATGGCTGGTTGCAAGCAATTTTGTAATGAAGATGTTTTATTACAATAATTTATTTTATTTTATTTTATCCTAATGATCGATTAATGATTGTTGTTTTTAAGGATTGGTACATCATTTTCCTCCATTTCATTTCTTTCTTAAAAAAAAATAATAATAATAAAATCTATATAATTATTAATAAATTAATGACTTACAAGTTGAATATTGAAAAAATTCGAAGAAATTAGCCACAAGAAAATAGTTATTTACTTTTGTTGGTAAATTTAATTGGTAGTGCATGGAGCGGAATTGGGTTTTCATATACCGTATATGTGATTTAGACACCGGATTCACGTTTACCGTATTTGGCAATTGCTTACTGTATTTGGTAGTTCAATTCACTATATATGGCAGCTTACCGTATATGTCAGGCAGCTCACCGTATATGACAGCTTACCGTATATACCAGGCAGCTCACTGTATTTGGTAACTTACCAAATTTGGCAGTGACACAACAACAGAATTTGTAGAAACTTTATGATAACTTAAACAACACGGATTTTGGACAAATTGTTTGTTTTCATAAAATAATTTAAATAACACAGAATTTGAATTTCCATAAACACAGTTTCATATCCCAGTTCTTATATACAAAATATTATCTAAATTGTGAGAATTAAAAAAAATTAAACTGCTTGAATAAGTACAACAATTATATTATTTGCAGAAGCACAAACGTAGTATAAATTCCAGAAAATAGAGATTTAAACTGAAATTTAAATAAATCTTAAAAGCATGTAAATCTGCAAATAAAGAAATGCACAGAGATTTAAACTAGAAAGCATATAAATCTAAAAATAGACTTTTAATCCGAGGCCTGTGTAATCACAGTTTCCTTAAAACAGATTTGCCCCCTCACCGTAAGTACTTGAGGTCTAGTCCGAGCGTTTGTTTCCCAGGATACACGGCAAAATCAAAAGAATCTGAGCACTACAAAAACTACTCCGACGAACCGATTTAACATCTAAACAATATCACCATCATGACGACTTCACCAGACAGAAAGAAGACAACGACAGGATTTTTCGTGCAAAGAGAATTTTGTGTGTTTTTTCATATATTTAATTGTTGGAAAACTTGATATTTAATATAGTATAAATCTGTCATTAACTCTATGGCAATTAACATTGAAGTCACTTTAATTTCTTAGAGTTTTGGAAGTTTTAGAAACTCAAAAGGCAGTGGAGAAAGCAAGAAAAGAAATTGCAAAACATGGGCTCTCCAAAGCAGCCAATTTTTGCTCCGTTCGGTCCGACATTCGTGTACGTAGGTCTCGCCCCTACACAAGTTCAAGGTTCGAAGGCAATTTTGGTCCGAAATTTGTACCCCCTGCGCGCGCTCGTAGAGAGAGTCTCTATGCTACACATGATTACACCATTCCAAATTGTAATTCTATATAAAGTGGTTCTTGCTTTCATATTTTTCCTATGTGGGACTAACTTCAATTTTTCTCCCATATAACCATCTTCTAATGGTCATCTTTGAGCTCCAATTTCTCAATCACCCAAACTTCATTTTTTGGCAAATAAATATAGGATTTTGATGCTCTCACGGAGGAGAATACGGATCAACTTTGATCTTCCAAATTGGACCAATGGGTCCTACCGAAAATTTTACCAAAAGTGAGTTATTACTCATTTTTTCCAACAATCCCCCACATGAATGAAAACTGGGAGAGACATGAGACCGTGAGACACAAGACTTGGTGACTGTGAGACACAAGACTAGGTGATAAAGTTCAACGGTTGAAACCTGCATAGGATAGGTAGGTATTAACCTTTGAACCTCCCCTTGTGAAAGTATATTTACTTTACTTACTGACCAGTAGATATGTTGTCCTTGAATCGTTTTGTCATTTATGTAAACGATGATATACTCCACACAGGATTCTTTTTAACACAATTCAGTTCTCATTATTATGTTCGTTTTGGCCATGAACATATGTCTGGTTTTGTGAGAGTTCTTAAGAATTGAGCCTCACACAATTCTCTTAGAAGCGACCCCACTTCTTTCTCACATAGGTGATTTCTTATTACAAGTAACCCGCATTACTTGGCTCGATTTCGACGCATAAGAATCTTTGAAAGCCTATTGCTTATCCTTCATCTTTATGGGTATCACTATTAAATTATAGGAATTGACAAGAGGAAACACCCCCACGGTGATTTTATTAAGCCTTTACAATTAAGTTGTTCCTTTGAACCTAGATTTTGGGATTTCCAATCAATTAGGTTGGGTTTCCTTTGTAATGACTTATTCATTCAAGGGCTTAAGTCTCATTCCTTTCGATGATTTCTCAACTAACTCTCTATTTATCCCTTTGGTTAGCGGATCTGCAATGTTATCTTTTGACCTTACGTAGTCAATAGTGATAACTCCAGTTGAGAGTAGTTGTCTTATGTTATTGTGTCTAGGACGTATATGTCTAGAGCTACCATTGTACATGTTACTATGTGTCTTTCTTATTGCTGATTGACTGTCACAATATATACAAATTGTTGGCACAGGTTTTGACCATCATGGAATATCCTCTAAAAAGTTGCGTAACCATTCAGCCTCTTCACCACATTTATCTAGAGTTATAAACTCAGATTCCATCGTAGATCTAATTATAACTGTTTGTTTAGAGGATTTCCACGATATGGCAACACCCCCAATGTGAACACAAATCTACTGGTGGACTTTGAATCTTTTATATCAGATATCCAATTAGCATTATTGTATCCTTCAATGACATATGGATATCTGGTATAATGTAGTTCATAGTCACGAGTATATCTTAAATACCTTAGTACTCTTACTATTCCCTTCCAGTGATCAGCTCCTGGATTACTCATGCATCTACTCAATTTACTGACTGTGTAAACTATGTCTGATCTTGTACAACTCATCAAGTATATTAGACTTTCAATAACTTTCTAGTATTCTACTTGAGAGACACTTTCACCTTTGTATTTAGATAAATGTTGACTTGTATCTATTGATGTTCTAGCCAAGTTAGTATCATCCTTATTGAATTTTTCCAAAATTTTGTCCACATAATGTGATTGACTTAGAACAAGCCCATCTGATGTTCTTGAGATTCTTACTCCAAGTATAACATCAGCTAAACTCATATCTTCATGTCAAACCTTGAATTCAACATATTTTTAGTGGATTCAATCATCTTATTATCATTACCAACAATAAGCATGTTGTCAACGTAAAGACATAAAATAACATAACCATCTTTAGTGTCTTTGACGTAGACACATTTGTCACACTAATTGATTTTAAATCCACTCTCTATCATGACATTATCAAATTTTTCATGTCATTGTTTGGGTGCTTGTTTCAAGCCATATAGTGACTTTCACCAATTTACAAACTTTC